ATATCTCAATAAGTGTATTTCAGGGACCGATGCACACCTCTTTTACAAACAGGCTTTCTTAAGCTTCACACATCCCAGAGAAAACTTTATACATCTGTATCTAAAACCCTCCTCCCAGCTATGAACATTTCCCAGCATGCCTTGGTGGAGGGGATGGGGCTGACCTTTTAAATCTGGCAAAAAGGAACAGAACAATAGTTTTGCAAGCAGCTGCTGATGTTCTGCTGGCCTTCTTAGCAAGAGTAAGTATTTGCTGGATTGTGGGTTTTGCTTTCTTTACTGATGAGAAACCCAGGCCCTTCAATTTCACTGTTCCTTCCTTGGCAGCACTGGGACGTTGTGACCTGAGAGGTATATTACTGGGGAAAGGCAGATTTTGTGGAGTGCTTGCTAAGGGCTACCTGTTTGTGGCCCAAACAGAATGTGGGGGAGCACCCAAGCAGGTCTATCCTTTGGGGAGTTCTAAGTGTGTGGGAGACCACAGTCCTTTATTACATTGATCTGAGCTCATGCTACACTAGACTGGAAAGAACAAGGAGGATTGACTATACCAGCTCCTTTCTCTGGAGGTGGGTACAGCTAGGGGAAGGTGGTATGGAGTTGATCCCTCAATCCCCCTCCCCTTTGTTTGTTCATGCCAAAAGAGTAGGGTGAACGCTGTGCAAAGAAAAATAAAAATTAGGTGCTGTACCAATTTATTTGCCTAACCTATTTTTAATGTTTGTGGGGTAAAGATATCAGATTACTGAACTCTCTCGCCCACCCTGCTGGTATCATTGGGTACTGCACTTAATCAGACACTTAAGCACTTCCAAACCCACCCTTGCTGCCTTGAGATTGGTTTATTATTTTTCTTAATGAAGACTGGGTTTCTTGGGCAATGCAAGATTCTAGGGGGTGGTGCAGAACGTTGGGTTTATATACAGTTGTAGAACACACATAGGCTGGGGAGTATTTGACTTCTTATTGCTTGAATCATCTGGCATGTATATTTGAGCATGTGCAGAGTGCCTTTTCCTCACCACTGAAAAGCCACACCACACCCATGTACACCTGGGGTTAGGGAGAAGGGTTTCCAAGTCAGGTGACACCTGCAGGCTTAGCTTCAGTCCCTCTTTGTACAGCCATGGCATGCAAGATTTCAAGCCTCTGCAGATCTCGATCATGGAAAAGAGCCAGGAGCCCCACAGGTATCCGGCAGAGGCTTCTGCCTTGCATGCCTGCTAGGAAATCTTTGCTTTTCCATGTTGCCCGACTAAACAATAGCTGTTAATCTTGAATGTTATGATGTGTTCACAGGAATGGCAAAGTGTTCAGGAAAATGCAATTTGTCTTTTTAATCAATTCTCATTGCTAGCACTCCAGCAGTCTCTTTTTTAAAGTGAAGAAAACCCACTTTCATTGAGATGATGGCTATTAGCATATGAATATGTGTCTAATTGTCCCCTCTTCCAACTCTGGGAAATAATTAGCAATGTTTGAGAAGCAGGAAGGTTAAGGAACATGCCCTATCTGCTTTGGTGATGGGAAATTGCACCTCTTCTAAATTGCCACTCCCTCGGCATTGTCTTCCCTGGATACAATAGAAGCCTGTTGTCACACCAGTAACAATAATCTCAAAGCTTCTCTTAAAGGGATTGCAACTGCACACCTGACAATACAGACGGCAATTAACATAACTATGGTGTGGGAGCTCAGTTGAACTGGTCTGAGTCCACAAACGATCACTTCTCTCACACACCTGAAAAAGGGGCTTCATGCTTCCCATCTAGTATGGAGGGATGACAGATGGTGTCTCAAGTTCCGGTGCCACTGGATAGTACAAGGCCACCCCCTATTGCAAAGCAAGAATTAAATGTGTTGAGTTCTCATTCATATTTTTGAGGCCAGGGTGCCACCTAGAGGCTGAGTGTTTTCTTAATAAACTGCTTCTACTCATCATCATGTGTCATTAGAACGATCACATAAGGGTGTAATTACACAATATGCTCAACACATGTTTCCCAGCAAGGGTATATTTTCTGCCAAATGTCACGTGGGATTCTTCATTGGGATGTGTGTGGGTGCAGTTAGTAGAGTGTTCTTCAGACCAGGGTGGTAAAGCATCTGCCTGTTCCAGGTAGGATAGCTCTCCCCTGAAAAGTATGCAGTTTGGGGTTCCTTTAGAGCCAGCAGTCTTTGGATACACAAGAGTCATCTGTGGATCAAAGCCCCTTTTGCTAACTTTGTTACAGCAATTGCCCCCTTTCCAAGAAAGGAATGACCATGCTATTTGGTACCACTCCTCTCGTTTTACCAAGGTTAGAGTACAGTATTGCATTTTGAAGAGCTCTTCGAATCTTCAGCTGGGCCAAAATACTGCTGTAAGGGTGTTGTCCAGGACAAGCCAAAGTAGACATACTGGATATTGAAAGAGCTGCTTTAGTTACAATCTTGTCTCCGGGCTGGTATTGACCTATAAAGCACCAAACCATCTGGGCCCACAGGACCCAAAAGGCTACCTCCTTCCTGTATGAAACTGCTCATTTTCTTAAGATTTTCCTTAGAGGCTTTCTCTGGGTGCCACTGCAGTAAGGTGACCAGTGGCAGTGCCACATTCATGCAATATCTTGTCTCATGAGGTTTGGGTGACAGGTGAAGAATGTTGTTTTGTTCAGTTTTGGATTGAGTTGGTTTTACTCCAGATTATGATCCTGTAACTGCTCATGCCCGTGTTTTAACCTGCTCCTCTTAACGTTGTCACTATGTTGCTGTGGCTTTATGTTTTAACCTATTTAGTATAATGTTTATGATCTTTGTGTAATTGCTGAATTAAATAAGAAAACAAGGTTGCAAGTCATCTGTAATACATAGTCACTGATTTAGGTTTATAACCCACCCCAGGCATGGACAGCTCTTTGGGCTAGCATCCAGACTGCATACAGAGCTCCCTGATTCTGCACCTTGGGGTGTGTTTTTTTGGTTCTAGACTTTAAAAAGGTGAAGAAAAGACAGAACCACAGTGCAAGAAAAGCAGGCTGAACTTGACGTTCCATCTAGGCTCATAAGCCCTCCTAGTTTTGGCCAACGATACCACAAGCTCTTCTTTTCTGTGCTCTTTTGGGATTCATGGTCTCCACATACACTGAGGTTAGTTAAGACATTTATAGTCAAGTAGCACATTTCATAATTCATTCTGAAGGACCTCAGGGTGTATCATGTACTGTTCGGTTCACTGAACAGTCTTCAGTTGGTTCCAGCAGATACCCAGGCTTTGGAAAAGCCCAGGGGGAGGAAAGTTAGAGAATAGTTTGCAAGTGCAAACTTGTATGGGCAGGTGTAAAGTGGATTTCTTGCAACATGCTCTTCAGCTTGTATTGTTACACACGTGGCCTGTGCTGTTGATGGGACATTGGGGGGGGGGGAGGCAATCTGAGAAGGACATGGGGCCAGATACCTGTGTTATGTGGAGATGCAGTGACAGCTCAGTGGAAGAATATATATTCTGCACACAGAACAGTCCAGGTCTGGGTTTTGTGGCATCTATGACTAAAAGGATCTCTGATATGGGAAATGCTTTTGCTGAGACCTTGGGGAGCTGTAGAAAGGTTGGGCTTGATGGATCAATGGTCTGACTCATCTCACATGCTCATGCATGCAAATTTATGTTTAGCCTTAGTCAGACCAAACTGAGTCAGACAAGGCTTTGTCTTGCTAACCAGAAATACAATTCTAAACTCAAACATTTGGAGGGGTGGACTAAAAGCTGCTCCATTCCAAATTAGCACATAGAATGTTTGCTACCTCTCCAAACTGAAATGTGCAAGACAAAGGCAGACTCTTCCCGGCTGCAGAGTCAGGAGCACAGTCAAGAGACCAATCAAAGTGGTCTACTGCACCAGCACCTTGGTCTATGAATGATACTATTCGGCAACATGTGATTGTTCATGCACCATATATGCACCAAAGCCACATGGCGGAAACTGCTCTTCCTGACCCTGGAGCAGAGACCCTGCCTTACTACCAGGCAATCTAGCACAGCACAAAGAAAGGGACAGAGTCACATTGGAGCAACAAACACTGCAGCATCCTGGAAGTGTGTGCACTTGTGTGTGCATTTTCACCCCAAGAGAACCCCAAGGGGATACTCCCTTCTTCTGCTTTTGGGGTTGCCAGGTCCCCCCTGACCACTGGTGGGAAATGGGGGGGGGTAGGATTGCCAGATCCAGGTTGGGACACTCCTGAAGATTTGGTGGCGGGGCCTGGGGAGGACTGGAACCTCAGTGGGATACAATGCTATAAGAGTCCACCCTCCAAAGCATTGTTTTTCTCCAGGGGAACAGATCCCTGCAGTCTGGAGATGAGCTGTAATTCCAGGGGGGATCCCCAGGTCCCACCTGGAGGCTGGCATCCCCAGCTCTCGTGAAGAGCTCATTGTATTTTCCTGGGTCACGGGGAGGCAGCCCTTTTCAAATAGCAGCTTTTGAAGTACTATGGGAAAGCTACAAGTTGCCAATTGTTTACTTGAACACTGTTGTATTCTTACTTCCCATGCAAGTGATGTGGATCTACTCCTCGAGCACCAAAATGCCTCAGACCATTCCTGAGGATACAGGGCTGGGGTGAGGTTCCACCCACCAACACCCTGAACGGAGGGACCCCAACTCCCGCTAAGAGTTTCTTCTCTGGCCACCCCTACCCCTTTGTCTGCCTCATACCTCTTGTCTAATCCAGTTGGAGCGTGGGCTGCCTGCAAACTCTGAGTCTGGGAGGTGTGTGAGAGACTTCCCCCACCCCGGGCCCCTTCTCTAGTATCCAAGCAGCCACAAAACAAGCTGCCCAGGCCTGGGAGTGAGTGACAGGGCTGGAGTGAGCAGCACAAAAGCAGCTCCTTCCCTGGCCTGCAGCTGCAGCAGCATCACAAGCCACTCACTCTTGCCTCTCCACCTCTCCCAAGTGCACCTGGGCTTGCCTGGCCCTGCCCATAGGTGGCACGGGCTGCCTTGCCAGGAACCGTGCAGGTGAGAGATCTGAAGAGTGTGAAGGAGCTCCCAAGAGCAGCAGCAGCAGCAGCAGCCCGTCCAGTGTGCAAGGAGAAAGGCAGCTGTCAGCAAGGGTGCTTTGTGAGACTGCTGCCTGCCTGGCCTCCCAAGGAGCTGAGCCCTCGGGCAAGGTGAGTGAGCTGGGAGGAGCACCAGAGCCCAGTAATCAAACCGAGCCCGTTTCAGCCAGGCCAGCTTGGAGTAAAGAGGAAACTCCTGGAGGCTAACCCAAAGGGCAGTCATTTTGGTGGGGTTGGGACTTTACCCCTCCCAGCCCACCGTGAAGAATACTGGAATGAGATGCTGGCTTAATGGGAATTGGGGGTGGAGGCAGTTCTGAACAAAGCCCTGTCATTAAAGGAAGGAGTTATCTGAAGTTGCCTGCATACCTTGAATGAGAAACAAACGCTGGTGAGCTAGAAAGAAGCATTTCACTTTCGGTTTCCAGTTCACGTTGGGCAGGATGTACTTGCTGAGGTTTAGTTTATAGACTTCTTCTCAGATGTCTTTTTGCAATGGATATGGGTTTGAGGAATGTTCCCTGGAGGAATGTTATCAGCTTTGATTTTTGTTTAAGGCAGGTGCTGCTCCACAGAGGAAGGGTGTGTTAAGTGAGAGGGGAGAGAAGGCTGCGCAGATTTAAGAGGAGGATTTCTTCCTTCCTCAATGTTATGTTGAAATGTTTCCAGTATTCTTGTACAGTAACCAAAAAAATCTGTACAAGTTGAGCAACTTCTTTAGAAGAGAGAAAATGAGTTTGTTTTTGCGCCCCCCCCCCTTCCCTTTCCGGACTCATCGGAATTTCACAGTGGTTGGTTTTGCGGAAAATGAATGGGAACTGTGCCAACCATGTTATCAGCAAGATGGGCAAAGGCACCCTGCGACGGCTCCTTTTACTACACTTTGCCAGCCGCACCAAGCCGTAGCCACCCACCTCTGCCCTCCCCTTGCTGGCACTGTGACATAGTCGCTGCACAAGGAGGCTGGAGTTTTTGAGCGGCGGCTCAGCTAAATTGCCCCCACCCCGCTGCCTTGTGCACCAAAGCCTGAAGCCTCTCTAGTCGCCATGGCAACATCTTCCCCAGGTCTGAGAGGCCCTTGCGGGGTTGGATCTCCTCTGCCTCTCCAAACTGCTTTGCACAAGACATACTTTCCTTCATGGAGATAATCTCCATCTGGGGGGAAACTTGCATGCTATCATAGCAGATGGATGTGTGAATTTTTTCCTCACTTGCTAATGGCTGCCTGTGCAACTTTAGGGTCAATAGGTACAACTGTAGGCTAGGCTAGCAAATGCGTGAGTTAATTACACAAGATGGTGCCCGGCTCTTTCCCAACACATCTTTGTGCTGGAAAAAATATCCTGTGTGAAGCTTCCTTTCACCTTTAGAACACGTTTGAGGCTCAGAGGGATCCCTTGGGTCTTTCTTGCACTACTTGTGCAAATAATTTTCTGTGTGGGTTGAATGTCCTGGGATAGGCTTTGCATTCAGCCGAGAGGGCGGTGCAGGAAGTGGGTTTACTGCCACATTTCAACTTTAGTGTACTTTTTGCGCCTTCTGCAAACAGACCCTCTGCCGCCTCCAGCAAGTACTTGGTCAGTTGTCCCTCATCTACTATCCCCGTAGCTTCCAAGCCACGTTCCTGCATTTTCCAGAGGGGCATGCATTGGGACCTGGAAAGGGGCATTATTTATGCACCAAGTGTGAATGAGGCAGAGAGTTAGTTTTATAGGAAGCAGTAACTGCCTAGATTTGCCAACAACCTGGAGAAAAGTGTCCTGCCCGTTTAATACAGGTTTAATGTGTGGAACTAGGCAGCTGAAGTTTTTCATGGCAGGGAGGTAAATAACATTTTGTTCAGCTTCTGTTAAAGGGGCAGGACACTCTTTCTCCAGGCTTTTGGCAACCTTAAGATGCTGTCAAGTGCGACTTCTGGGCAAAACCCTAAAAAAGACAGCACTGTGGGTTTCCCATCCCTTCTGTTTTCATGCACTCATGCATGTCTCTCATTCTCTCTCTGTCTGTCTGTCTGTCTGTCTGTCTGTCTGTCTCTCTCTCTCTCTCTCTCTCTCTGAAGAAAGCTGCAGCTGTCTGCTGTCCCGGGCTCCTCACAGCCCGGGCCTGCCCTGGCCTGACTGTTTGGGGTGGGGAGGCCAGGGTGTGACTAAGTGCACAGGTTTCCATTGGCCTGCTGCCTGATCTGGATTAGCCTCTGCTGGGAATCTGTCAGTGAATCTGTGCCAGACAATGAGATTGAGGAGCTCGGAACCTCAAAGAAACTTGGAACCTGGTGCTGGGGTGGGGTGGGGTGGATGGGAAAAGGGAGAGGGATAGACTGGTTGTGCATTCAAGCTGGAGTACTTGCTCCTCCTCTCTCCCACTTTTGCCACCATCATTTCCTCTTTGTGGAAATCCCCACTCTATATGACACACTAGGAGGCCACAGTGCGTTCTCAAAGACCACAGGAAGTACAATGACCACTCTCAAACTTCTTCCTGCCTGTGTGCTTTCTCCTTTAGGGCCTGGTGTCCCCGCCTCATCATGGCAAAGGATGGGGGCTGCTGCCATGCCTGTGCCACCTGCCTGCTCTGCCTGTACAGCTGCCGCTGGTCACCCAGCAAAAAGGGTATGAAGACCAGCAAGGTGAGTGGGAGACTCCAGGCAGCATCTTGGGGGATAAGCAGAGGGCTGCCCCAATTTGGTCAGCTAGGGGTGTTGAGGCTGAAGTGCTGGATTAGGCTCTGGAAGACCCAGGTTCAAATCCCACTCTCCCATGGAAACTTGCTGGGTGATCTTGGGTTAGTCCCTCTTTCTCAGCCTAGTCTGCCTCACAATACTCTGATTGTGAGGATAAAATGGAGGAAGCGGGAGAATGAAATAACACCATCTTGAGCTCTTTGGAGGAAGGGCATGGAGGGGCAGAAGGATTTCAAGCCTGGGCCTCCTTCCCTTTTTGGAAGAAGCCTGGCTGTGTCCTGTCCATCTAATAGAGGTTTATTTGGCCTCCTCTGTTGCAACAGCAAAATCTTCCCCACTTTTCTTTCCCCTTCCTCACATGCCCAGTATGTGCCCAGTCCCCTTCAGGGGGGATCTGAGTTCAGAATCCTGCTCTGCTGCCATATATTGGGCAATACAGCAGCAAAAACAAGGGGAAGCACTGTCTGGTCCATCTCATGGTGAGGCAAGCTGGACAGAAGGTGGAGGTTGGCGTGGGGTGCTGCGCTTTTTCCTTCCCATCCCTCCTGCAGTATAGCACTGGAAAGAATGCAAGTCTGGAGTTGGACAATGTCTGGAAGGCTGTGGGAAAGAGGCAGACTCTCGTCCCATTTTTGCGTCTGGTAAACAGGTTTGACGTGACTCTTTGTTTCCATTTGTTTATTTGCCCAGAGGCAAGGGCGGCAAAAGCAGAGTGTGCATGCAGAAGCAAACACAAGAAGCTGCCTTATGCAAAGGCAGACTGTTGTCTCCCCTGACTGCCAGCAGCGCTCTGGGGTCTCAGGCGGAAGTCTTTTACATCACCTGGTCATCTTCACTGGGGGTGCCAGGGACTGAGCCTGGAGCCTTCTGCATGTACAGCAATGGCTCTTCCACTGAGCCTGCCCCTCTCCCCTCTAAAAGTGCCACAGACATTGCAGCCTCTCTGACGCCTTCTGTCCATCTCCAGCCCAAGCTTCCCTTAGGGCTAGCACAGAGCTTCGTTTGAAGTCCTGTTCACGAGGCTACGGCTCAGCCTTACAGCATGCAAGATGAAGAGTGCCTCCGAGGAGGTGCAGAGTGCCCCGGAGCAATGTCAGCAGGCTTCCCCGTAAGAAAGGGTGCCTTCTGGGGATCCCAGTGTGAGGCTGTCACATCTGGTGTCCTTTTCCTAATACAATCCTTTGCCTCGCAGTGTGACTGTGCCTGGTTTTTCTTCCTCTTCTGCGTGTGTCTGTTCACACTGGCCTGGCTGTATCTTGCTCTCGTCACCCTCAATGATTTCCACCTCCTCAATGAGTGAGTAGAAAGCACCACAGTCCCCACACTCCACGGCCGACCCCAATTTCTGAGCCAGGCTGGCTGTGACCTTCTTTCTCCTTGACAGGTTCCTCTTCCGCAAGTGGGAGTGGTGGCTTGACTGGTCAGTGGTGATGCTGTCTGGAACGGCGACTCTGGTCACCTACTCGTCCCTCCTGCTGGTATGATCTTTGCTCTGATCCTTCCTTCCAGAATGCCCCATCTGAAATTCCCCGGCCCAACTTTGGGAAAGCGGCCAAGCGGTGGACTCCCGGAGCATGATTGCCCTACTTGCTACTTGATGTTAATGGTCTGCCTACGCTATAAGCTGAAAAGCAGTTTAAATCAGAGGTGTCAAACTCATTTGTTACAAGGGCCGGATCTGACATAAATGTCACTTTCTCGGGCCGGGCCATGTGTGCCATAAAACATGCCAGGTACTAGAGATATAAACTTAATAAAGGACAGGAGCTGGTGAGCTCTGAATTGGTGTGTCCTCACTGCAGGGCCCCATGGGCTGGGAGGGGGGTTCAGAGGAAAACCCACATAGGCGGACCGGAGAGGCAGCAGTGCAGCGCTGGGCAGATGCTCCCACGATGCTTGACTGCTGCATGCAGATGAGGCTGTTCTGCTGTGTTGAAGCCACAATGGAGTGGCTGCGCCCACTCCCTCCCTTGCATCAGTTGCTCACGGGTCGCCTAAGAGCCCTGGGTGGGCCAGTCCCGGCTCCCAGGCCTTATGTCTGACACCGCTGGTTTAAATGCTGCAGCTGCCCTGCCTGACTGGGAATGTAGCTTTGTGAGAGGGCTAGCAATATCCGACACAGGAGAGCTACCAGTATCTCGCACAAGTGTCAGCAGCATCCTGAAACTACAAGTCTCAGAGGCTTCTAGTTCTCAAGACAAAGTATATGGGCAATGCCTAGTGAAATTTCAGGAGCCGAAATGGGATGCTGAGAAAGATTTCGATGCCCTGCAGAGTCAAGAGGAACATTACTACCAGTTGTAGAATTAATTATGCAGAGGAAGCAAAGGTATTTAATTTTCATAATTCCTAGCATTCTGCTTTTCTATGGTCAGGATTTGGGTTGCCTCAATGTATGATTCTGTTTTGGTGCAGTATCAACAGCTATGTTTTGCCCTGCACAAATGTCAGTATCTCCCACACTCTGTCCAAGAAACTATTCAGAAGCAGACTCCTAAATTGTGACTGTTTCCCCCTTTTTATTCCAGGTTTTGGCATTCATTCTTCAACTTTGCCACCAGCCCTTGAAGATCCATTGGCTCCACAAGGTAAGTTTGCCCATACCCACCATTCTGGCTGCAACTTTGTCTTCTCAGGGTTGCTCCACATTATGGATTTCCTAAAGGGAAAGTGTAATCCCACCCACAGATTTCCTGATATTTAATGTACACTAGGTGAATAGCTATGATTAGGATGCATAGCTTCCAAGTGCGTGTACTCCCAGTATCAGTCTAACCTACCTCACAGGGTTGTTGTGAGAATATAATGGAAGAGATGAGAAGTGTGTATGTTGCCCCAAGTTTCTTGGAGAAGGGTAAAGGTAAAAGTTTCCCTTACTCGAAAGCCAGTTGAATCTGACTCTAGGGGGCGGTACTCATCTCTGTTTCCAAGCCGAAGAACCAGCGCTGTCCGAAGATGTTTCCGTGGTCATGTGGCCGGCATGACTAAACACCAAGGCGCACAGAACACTGTTACCTTTCCCCCGAAGTGGTACCTATTTATCTACTTGCAATTTCTTGCTTTCAAACTGTTATGTTGGCAGGAGCTGGGGCCAGAGACGGGAGCTCCCACCGTCATGTGGCACTCGTGTCTTGAACTGCCGAGCTACAGACTTTCCGGTCTGCAGCTCAGCATCTTAACCTCTGAGCCACCACAGCCCTTTCTTGGAGAAAGGGTAGTATAAAAATGTACTAAATCTGCATGCAAGATATTGCGTGTTAGAATTCAGGAAATCAATACTATGTTAAGTAGCTTACAGTCATGGCTTCCTAGCCACAGTATCGTTGCTCTTCCATACAATACCTACTACTACTACTACACAGAATACCTACTATGCTTTCAGTTGACAAGTACTGAGATGCAGCTGTGTTACTGTATCCCGCAGAATCTGTCAAAGACAATTTTATCCCATCCCTTTTCCAAGGAGTTCGGGGCAATGTGCCTAGGCCTCCCCTTCTCACAACAACGAGAAGAGTAAGTGACTGGCCCAAACTCTCCCAGTGAGTTGCACAACAGAGTGGAGATTTGGACCCAACTCTCTCAGATCCTAGTCAGACACTGCAACTATTACACCGTGCCTGTTAGGGGGATGACACGAGTGTAATCCTAGAGTGCATGAGTGCTAGTAGTGAACTAGATATCGTATAGAAATCAGAAGTTCAGAAGTGTGAGCCAGTAGTTCAGTGGAAGTGTGATGTAGTGGTTAGTGCGTTGGACTGGGATATGCAAGACCCAGGTTTGAATCTCCACTCTGCCATGGACACTTGCTGGGTGACCTTGGGCTGGTTACACACTCTCTGCCTAACCTACCTCACAGGATTGTTGTGAGAATAAAATGAAGGAAAGCAGAAGGCCGTAAGCCACATAGGGTCCCCATTGGGGAGAAAAGCAGAGTATAATCGAAGTAAATAAATAACTCTACCTTTGCTAAGGGGGCTTGATCATCTAAACATGCTTCTTCTCTTCCTTTCAGAAGGTAGCTTTTCTGGGCAGCTGGGAACCCCATTGCCCTTTCCAGGCGTTTGAAACTGTCCTCCCTGTTTCTTCCAGGTCCTCCTGATCTTGACTGTGCTTGTAGTAGCAACTGCTTTTGTGGGACTGGAAATTCAGTGGGCAGAGCAGTGGGAAAGCGCTCACATTGCCTTACAGGTGAGTCCACAGTTGATGCATACCCTTTGAGAATAAGGGTTGTCTTTCACGTTATAGCTACCACAGGGATGTGGCTTTGAATTGTCCCATGTTATTGTGTGCCATGTAGTTCCAACATCTTTACTTGTCCTTCATATATGCTGGGCTGCTACATTTGATCAAGTCATGGTAACAAGCTAGTAGACCAGTCTTTTGGGTGCATATTTTGGGTTGGTAGTTGCTTGTGCACCCTATTGGATGTTGTGCTGCATCACAAGGAATGTAGGAAGCAACCCAGGAAAGTCAGCCAGGCTGCAGACGGTAGCTTGATCACCAAGGACCACAAGAATTGATTGAAACTCTCTGTGTATGTGCACAGCTGCGTAACATGTGTTCCCAAGCATGTTGGAACATGACCTTTCCTTCCAGGTGGATGGAGACAGCAGACCTTGCTGCCCTCCCCCCCACCCCATGCAAGACAAGGTTCTGGGTGACAAGTTTGGGGGCCCCTGATGTGGCCTTTGTCTGTGCCCTGGCATCGTCCCCCCTTCCCCACCCTTTTTGGGGGCTCAGTCAGTGATGCAGCCTGAATTTCCTCCACCGTCCCAGATGACACTGCCTTTTTCTCTGCCATACAAGGCCACAGGCCCCTTCCTACACATTGGAGCTGTGGTCGGTGTGACACTGCTTGCCTGGCCAGTGGTGGACTGCTTCTATCGTACATCCCGCTCAGGTACTGGAGAGACCAAAGCTTGCAGGCTGGGGCTCTTAGCCGAGGTCATGGGAAAAGTTACCGTACTTTGTGCCCTCTTGTCTCTCACCCACCCCACCCCCAGTACTAGTCATTAAAGACCCTTCAGCAATACATTTACATCTTTTTAGAATCTGTGTTTGGGTTTACTCATGAGGTTGTTAAACCATATGGGGCTGCAGTGGAGTATACCGAAGTGAACTTTGTGGGCGAGCTTTCAGCAACTGGTGCTGTCATTCTGTTTAGCTCTGTTTTGGAGATTTAGTACCTCACTAGAAGGGAAGGAAGACACAGCCTAAGAAATGGGGGGGGGGCAGGGCAGGTGTTCAGAGTGGATGCTCTTTAACTAGGAGGCCTTTGGAGGGATGGGGCTGCAAGTCTTATGATCCAATGCATTTTTCATGGCTGCAGGAAGAACACCTGTCATGGTATCTCATGTGCATTTCCCATTTATGTGTCTTGACAGCCCTCGGAGTACTTCTCCTGCTACTGTACCTAGGAATAGTGATTGCTTTGTATCTGGCACCACTGGGTATTGACTCTCCCTGTGTTATGGAGCACAGCCAGCTGCCCCCCAAGCCAGCTCTGTTTGGGCATCGTGGGGCTCCCATGGTAAGTAGCTAGCGCCTCCAGTTGCTCCTGCAGCACAAGGAGGAGCACAGGATGAAGTGGCATTTGCCACTTGTAAGCTGCCTTGAGCTCCACAAGGTAAAAGAAGGCTGATATGTGTTTTAAATAAATTAAACGAACTGAGGATGGGTGGAAGAAAATACAACCAGAGAGGCTGAAGGAAGGTGTTGAGGCTACTTGCTTGCTTCCCTCCAAGGAGCAGCCCTTGGAGGCTGAACTTGTCTCCATATCCCTGGATTCTTCCCAGACATGAGTAACAAGAACTGGTGTAACAGCTTCTGCAGTCCATCCTCTCTGGGACTTTTGTAGCCTCCCCTGGAAACCAGGGACTTATCTGGCCATGGATGCTACCTACGGCTCCTGTTAGTGGCTCTCAGCCTCACACACTCAATGCTGTCAGTGACTCTGGGAGTGTGCACTGCAGACCGCAGCCTCCAAGTTAGGAGTGGGTTGATGAGGCATCAAGATCTACAATCACAAATCTGTCACTCTTGATCTTCCTCCAGCTTGCACCTGAGAACACACTGATGTCCTTCCAGAAGGCACTCAACTGTGGTGTGCGTGTACTAGAGACTGATGTCCTACTGAGGTAAGGGCAAAGGAAGACAAGAGATGTTTGTCAGGAAGGGGAAGCTTCCTTGGGCTCTCGAAGCATCCTTCAGAATCTTTCACTCATTCCTAATAATTTCTTTTGCTTTTGTCTGGCTTAAAAAAAATAATCTTTCACTTGTTCTTCAGGAAGTAGAGATGAGTCCAATATCTGGCCAAACTCTTTCTCTTTCCAGTGCTGATGGAGTCCCTTTTATCATGCATGATGAGAAGCTCACTCGGACAACAAATGTGCAAGAACTCTTTCCTACTCGGGCCCATTCCAATGCCAGCTCCTTCAGCTGGTCAGAACTGCAGCAACTGGATGCTGGCAGCTGGTTCCTGCAGGTGAGGGTCAGAAGAGGGTGCCAAGATCGCCCTGACCTGGATAGCCCAGGCAAGCCCGATCTCATCAGATCTTGGAAGCTAAGTAGGGCCGACTCTAGTAAGTACGTGGAAGGGAGACCTCCAAGGAACACCAGGGCCGGGATGCAGACAATCAAGCCACCTCTCTGAAAATGTCCTAGTCCCACTAGGAGTCACCAGAAGTCACCGTGGCTTGCAAGCAGACATACAAATTTTAAAGAGTTTGAAAAAGAAGTGGGTACTAAGATGAAGCCTGCACAAATTTGATTTAGAAGAGGATGCAGCTCACATGCTTTACAAACAACAGGTTGCTCCGCAGTATCTCATTAAAATGAGTTCTCTGGTAGCAAATATTGGGGAAGACCTTTTTTGTGTCAGAGGACCGGGAGAGCCACTGACAGCCAGAGGAGACAGTGCCAAGTTCGATGGACCTGCAGTCTGATGCAGTATGAAGTAGCTTCATATACTTATGTATGGTTTGGCTTTCTTGCCCAAGTCACCTCAAGTTAGTTGTTTTCTGCAGTGTACCTGCCCTCTGTCAGTGGCACAGTCTAATGGGGAGTCTGCTGGGTAAAAGGACCTGCCATGGGAAAGGGATTGGGGGGGGGGGATTTCTATCAAATATTTTTAATTTAAGGTTTACACTGTAGACTCTTGGAACTAAAGTGACCCTTGGTAAAATAAAACTTCTATACTGTTAACTAAAAAGCAGCATAAATATGGCAACTCATCAGACAGTGAGCAGGAGCAAACCTCTTGAATCCAGTGAGTCCATGGTGGCCACACCCATGGGGCAAAAACTCCAGACTAGGAATGGGAACATCTCAGCAGGCCCAAGCCAAGAGACAGTACAGAATTCCATGGACTGCAGGCTGACATGGCAAAGCCTCTAGAGGTCCCCTTGATACATGGGGGTAATTGTGTCTTACCATTATGAGGGGTGACACGATCGAGGTTTATAAGATTATGCATGGGAAAGAGCGGGTAGAGAAAGAGGTACTTTTCTCTCTTTCTCACAATACAAAAAATCGTGGGCACTCCATGAAACTGCTGAGCAGTCGGGTTAGAACGGATAAAAGGAAGTCCTTCTGCACCCAAAGAGTGATGGACACATGGAATTCACTGCCACAGGAGGTGGTGGCGGCTACAAGCATGGATGGCTTCAAAAGGAAATTAGATAAGCATATGGAGCAGAGGTCCATCAGTGGCTATTAGCCACAAGGTATAGATAGGGGCTCTGGGGCAAGTGATGCTCTTGTCTTCTTGGTGCTTGCTGGGGGGGTCAGCAGTGGGAGGGCTTCTAATGTCCTGGCCCCACTGGTGGACCTCCTGATGGCACTGGTATTTCTGGCCACTGTGTGACACAGAGTATTAGACTGGATGGGCCTTTGGCCTGATCCAACATTGGCGTCTCTTATGTTCTTATCTCTAATTGTAGCCCCTTACTCTTGTTTCCTACTAGCAAATGTATAGCACATGCATGTCCCTCTCCTGTTCCATTCACATATATGGAAAAGAGAAAGATTTGTTTTCCCTGGTGTGTACAGCAAGAAGTAAGGTGGGGAGAGCTCAGCAAATAGTTTGAGTTGCTCCTGGGGATCATGAAGCCCTTTGTGGGGCTGGCTCGAGAAAGACCTTGGTAGGAACAGGCTAAAGCAGCGGGTTCTGACATGCTCTCAATGGCTTCCTTTGCCTTCCCAGAAATACCCCTTCCCCACAGCACAAAGCTTCTCAAGCTCAGAACAGGCCACAGTGCATGCACAGAAGATCCTGTCACTGAATCAGCTGCTGGAAGAGGCTGCGAGACACAACGTATCTGTCATGTTTGACTTGCGGCCTGAGGAGGATCCCCAGTATGAGTACCTTGTCAACGTTACTGTAGAGACCATCCTCCAGTCAGGCATCGCTCCCGAGCTGGTGAGTGTGGCTGGGGCCAAGCGTGAAGACTGGTCTTCTAAGCTAGTATCCTGGGAGGGGGGTGGGTTCAAAGGGTGGTAGACTTCCTGACAAAGGGAGCACACAGGCTTGTCTTGTGAAACTTAATCTAGGTTAAGCCCGTCTCTCCCCCAACCCAAAGGCTATGCAAAAATAAGAAAGCACTTGGACTAATCATATGATGCACAATTATGCAGTTAAAATCCACGCTATATAACCTGCTTATATATTGGTGTTCCTTGGCAATAGATTTTATGGTCTTCATTATGCATACTCTAAGTCCTGTAATTTTGGATTCGGTGCTGAATGATCCATGTAAGAGTTGTGCCTAGTCTGTCACCACTATTCCCATTGTATAGGCTGTAGAACTGAGGCTGAGTTTCAGGCTTGAGGCACGGCTTATCATCTTGGGCTCTAACATGGCCAGTTGATGGCCTAGGGCTGCTCACAAGTGGATGTGATGAAAGTACACATCTAATAAACTGGCAGAGACCACTTTTGAACACAAGGGGGGAAGGACTTGCCCAACATTACTCAAGCCTTTGAACCCAGGTCCAAGCCCAATTGTCTGTCTATTGGGTCAGGCCAACTCTTGATTTTTTAGCTGGAAGCCACAATATGGTAAATTTCCTGCCCTTCCTTTCAGGATATGAGTAGCAAATGTCTCCCATTTCATGCTCTGGAGTATGCCTTGTGCCTCCCCGTTTCATCTTCTATTGACTCTGTTAGCTAGATATGACTGAAAAGGATGAGGAATAAGGAACCGTACCTCACACATTTTATTTCCTCTCCAGATTCTGTGGCTGCCAAAAGAGTTTCGAGAGCAGGTAAAGAAGCGGGCACCCAGGTTCCAGCAGGTCTATGGCCGGAAGAGGACGAATAATGAGACGAACAAGTTGCTATATGTTAACCTGCCCTACCAAAACCTGAGCAGCACAGAAATCAGGTTGGCCGGGGAGAGGGGATACTAGTGACTATCAGTGTTCCCTCTAAGCTCAGTTAGTGTGAGCTAGCTCACAGCTTTTTAGCCTCCAGCTCACAGATTTTTGTCTTAGCTCAGGAAGGATGGTGGCTCCAGAGCAAACTAATTTATGCAGCAGCCAAATCGCTTGCTCACAACTTTAATGCCAGTACCTCACAAAGTACAATTTTTGCTCACAAGACTCCACAGCTTAGAGGGAGTATTGGTGACAATAGGTCTATGTACAGACTGTGCAGCTGTGTTCAAGTACAGTATTGTGGGCCCAAAAGTTAACATCTTGCGCATCGCTACATGTGTATTTTGCTTCTAGAATTTATAGTTGCAGAGACAAGTTTAAAGATATGGGTACTCAGTAAAATCTTCAAAACTAGAGAGGAGCTAAGCAAGACTGATAAAGAAATAAGGCACATGAGTGGTCTGCATAGCTATCATCCTTTCGCATTGCCAGCAAAAGCAAAGCGAATTAGAAAATACCTGGAAGTCTTGCATAGTTTAAGCAGACATCTTTATTTTATACCCCACCCTCCCTGCTGAAGCAGGCTCAGGGCAACTCTGGACTGTTAGTTAAGATGATACCTGTCCCAAGATACTCAACTGTCCTGGAACACGGTAGCAGAAGGTGGTGCTCCAGCACTTGATGTCTTCAGTTTCCTGGTCTCTATCTTCTCCTTCTCTGGGGACCAGCTTTCTCTCCCTGCACCTTAGAGACATAGAGTTTGGCCACTGCGCTTCTTCTCTGGGGAAACTTCCATGTGACTACCTACTGTTGTGTTAGTACTAGTGTGTGTGTGTCTCTCTCTCCCCTTCTTTCCTAGAGAATACCGCCATGACAACATCTCTGTCAACCTGTATGTGGTGAATGCTCCATGGCTCTTCTCAGTCCTATGGTGTGCAGGAACCAGCTCAGTCACTACTAATGCCTGTCATGTGCTGCAGAAGATGGAGCGTCCCCTCTGGCTCCTGGTGAGGGCCATCTCAGTACCCAGCGATCCCCCCCCCCCCGTAGCGAGGGTGGATATTTAAGGAGATTGACAGCTGCCAGTTTACCACTTCAGCCCTCCCAACCACTCCACTGATTACCATTCCCTTTGTTTCCCTCAACCCAGCCTCCTGCCACATACCAAATGATCTGGATTGTTACCGACTGTGTCTCCTTACTGCTGATTGGCTGGGCCTTCCTGCTACTGAAGTGAGTACCCTTTGACTGGTGCCTTGGCTCCTGATGCAATGCCAACTCCCTTCTGTATTTGGAAAGACATAGTTCAGTGGTCAAGGGATTGCCAGCTGGCTTGCAAATGTGCAGAGGTAAAGACTGAACTGAGCCTCGAGGGCTCCGTGGGATCTGTTCCTAATGGAAGCTGGAACAGGCCTTGGCCTTGTACAAAGAACACAAGTGAAGCATTCCTCTTTAATACAAGGGCAGAAGCCCTTTTCTCTGTTGCTAGCTACAGCTCACGGGGGTATCTTCATGCTCACAAACCAGGCACGGGGTAGGACATGAATCTCTTTGAACTAATTCTCCTCCCTTGTCTCCTTACAGAAAGTGGTCCCGGAGAAAAGAGTCATCAGGTAAAGGAGGGCTTGTGGGTTTCTTGGAATTCTTGACACTCCTGGTGTCTTGCATGTGTTGTAGACTTGTTAGTCATTGGAGTAGGACTTTATGCATGCATCATCGCTGATGGGTGCAGAACTGGAAAGGTGGGATATCCATAAGAACTCCCCCAGCACACGCTTTCTTAGAGGTTGTTATAGTTGCAATATTGGCCATTTATCAAACTTGTGCATTGAGTCTCCTACCACACTTTCTTTTTAAGACAAACCTGCTTCACTTCAAGGCAGGGCTCCTTCAGCTGGTCCAAACACATCTCAGATGCATAAGCAACTTTAAATACAACTGCATACTGAATTGCTCTGCCCTCAAATAGCGGCTGAACAGCAATATTCAGGACCACTGCAGCAAGACTGCCAAGTTCCAGCTCAGAGGCTCCTGTACTGACATCCATCTCCTTGGTTCTTCCAGGTTCTGACTCGGATGTGCTATTGACAAAGATCCACAGCCTCCTGTCTGAGTGACAGGGAAGTAGTCTGAAGAGAACCCCAGGACCTGCCTCTCCTGTGACTGGCTTTGAGATCTCTCTTCATGGGGCTCATTCGCTGCTACGATCCACTGGTACTGCAGCAGTCTCTCCTCCCCCAAGTCCAAGAGCAGCACCATTTGTGTTGCCTTGAACCAGGATAAACTGGACTCCTGTATTTCAATCTGTACCCTCCTCTACATGGCACAGTGAGGGGACTTTACAGGTACTCTTTCACCTGCCCAGTGGAGTTATACCATCTGGACCAGTGGCTGGGCTCCTCCTGTCTCCTCAGCGTGATAAGTGACAGGATTCTTTTCACTGTGGCTGAAACATTTGTAAATAAAGCATCCTCTGAGGGTCAGAGGTGAAATAGGTTCTGATTCTTTGGGAAGGGAGAGGGCATCCTTTCTCTTTACAGCCGCCTAAGAACTTTACACTTCAAAGATTTACTGCAACTTTCACCCCGGGCCATCTGCTGGAACTCTGCAGAATGCTAGGTGGAGCGGTGGTCTGCTCCAGCTCCCTGGGGGTGGGTAAATAAATGCTTGCAGCCAGACACCACCCTATTGTTTCAAGTCCAGTGTTGCTAATTGATTTTTTTTCTCAGTTAGATATCAGCCCCAGAATTTCTCACACAAAGGTTCACTTGTATAGCATGTGAGGCCATTTCTTTTGTTCATGGTTGTCTCTCAGTGCTCCTTTAAAAAAAAATAATCTTGATTTGTGCCTGTCACTGATATAGACTTTGGGGACAGAAGAGTACAGTTGAGGATCCAAATTAATTTCTGTCCTACAAATTTAGCAATAACCTCTTTCACAGGAAAATTGGGCTCATTTCCCTGTATAACACCATTTGTGTTGCCTTGAACCAGGATAAACTGGACTCCTGTATTTCAATCTGTACCCTCCTCTACATGGCACAGTGTTCTGATTCTTTGGGAAGGGAGAGGGCATCCTTTCTCTTTACAGCCGCCTAAGAACTTTACACTTCAAAGATTTACTGCAACTTTCATTTCCCTGTATAATGTTAGGCAGCCATTGATTACATTAGGTAGATTCCCTGATTGAATTTGTTTGAATTTGTTTCCCGTGTAGCTGTCTTCAAACTCTACAGAGCATGAGTAGAGTGGACTACCGCTGAAGCTTTGGGGCAGCTTCAATAATGCATGGTACAGTGATCACATCACTAAATGAGCTCTTACAGATCCTGTTAGATTTGGGACGAAAGCACTGCAGCTCTTGACCAGCAGGTGACACTCTCTCCTTGTGACTGGCTGCCTGTAAAGGAAGCCTAGAGGGAGCTACTGGTGTCTTTCATTTCTTCTACTGAACGCAAGCTCTGTCTATATAAATCAATCTGCATGATCATTGGAGTGGTGGGATGGAAACACGTTTACCAACATTTTGAAAATAAGCCACCTTCTGCTCAATGTTATGGTTTCAGTATCAACTACAGCTCTTTTGCCTTGATGCAAATATAGCCAAGGTTGTGTACATTGTATCTTACACAAGCTACATGTAGCTTTTTTGATACAGAGCTCTGGTATTTTGTTTTAAACAAAAGCCATAACATAAAAAGAGCCCTACTGGATTGGACCAATGGCCTATCTAGTCCAGCATCCTGTCTCAGACAGTGGCCAGCCAGTTCCTCTGGAAGGCTAACCACAGGGCACAAAGGCCAAAACCTTTCCCTCCTGTTTCCTCCTGGCACTCTCCTTTAGTCTCCATGGCTAGTAGCCACTGACAGACCCATCGTCCACAATCTATCAAATCCCATTTTAAAGCTGTCTGTGGCTGTGGCCAGCACTACATCCTCCGGCAGCAAATCCCAGTTTAATTACTTGCTGTGTACGGAAGGATTTCCTTTTGTCTGTCCTGAATCTACCGCCCATCAGCTTCATTTGACGCCCTTGAGTTCTAGCATTTTGGGAGGGAGAAAAAGTTATTTGTCAACTCTCTCCACCCCACACGTCTCCCCTTAATCATCTCTTTTCTAAACGGAAAAGTCCCAGACTCTTTAACCTTTCGTCATAGGGAAGGCTGACACTTCCACTGAGCTATCTACTATGACCCTCTCAGTCTCTGCAGATCCCATTAGCCTATACTTGAAGCTGCGATTTCTTTGTACCAAAGTGCGTCAACTAATACTTACCAACACTGAACTTCATCTGACACACTGTCCCCTGCTCACCCAATTTGTGGAGATCCTCCTTGAGTTCTTCACAGTCATTCTTGGTTTTCACCATCCTGAAGTATTTTCTGTCGTCTGCAGACTTGGCCACTACACTACTCACCCCTAGTTCCAGATAATTTATGAACACATAGTACCGGCCCCAATACTGATTCTTGTGGGACCCCACTGCTTACTTCTCTCCATTGTGGGAACTGTCCACTTATTCCTACTCTTTGCTTCCTGTCACTGAACCAGTTTTATTTTATAAGACAACCTGTCCTCTTATGATGGGCTCTTTTTGTAGCAGGAACTCCTTTGCATATTAGGCCACACACCCCTAATGTAGCCAATCCTCCAAGAGCTTACAGAGCTCTTCTTACAGGGGCTACTGTAAGCTCTTGGAGGATTGGCTACATTAGGGGTGTGTCACTTAATATGCAAATTAGTTCCTGCTACAAAAAGAGCCCTGCCCGGGTTTTCTCAGGAGTCTTTGGTGAAGCATCTTGTTGAAAGCCTTTTGAAAGTCCAACAAACTTCTGTGGTTGAAAAAGTGGAAGGATTTGTGCCAGAATCTAGCTCTGGGTGCACCTAGTTCTAACAAGTAACTGCTGTTAATAATACCACAACTGCAGATAGCATGTCTCAGCTAGGCAAGGAAGATGAGAGCAAGCTGCTTCCTAAGAGTGCGCAGAGCAGCCACGGGAGCTTGGACATAGTTGGGAGCAGCCAGTTCTGTTGGCAGAAACACACTCGAGGGCTGCTCCCAAGGCTGCTGGTGGGAGGAATGGAATGGAATGTGCTGGCTGCCTGAGAGCAACTCTCTGTGCCGGAATGCAGCCTGCCCAAGAAGTCATCCAGAGCAGGCAGGGCTGCTCTCTCCACAGAGCAGGACACAAAGGCTGGCCAGAAGTGGAGGCGCCTCCTTGCAGTTGCTGCCTGGCTTTTCCTTCCCTAATTTTATTTGCAAATACAAAACAAAAAAGAAAGAAAAGGAAAAAAAACCAGGCAACTGAACAGACCATCTTGTCACAAGAAGAGTGAGGTTTCTGCTTGTAAAAAATGTATTTGGGAATCGAGGGGGGAGGTTACTTCCAAAACTTCTCTAAGGAATTAAGGGCTGTATAAAAAGTCAGAGGGATAATCTCCCTGTAAGTTTGGCCTTTCTTAGAGTTATCTATATTCATGAACAGCTCTCCTTCCCATCCTTCTCTGGGAACGCCTCACAACAAAAATGTATGTCTCTACAGCTAACACCTTTTTTGTTTTAGTGCCATAACCTACAACTGCTGTGCCTCAGAACCACTTTGGCTAGATTCGTACAGCTGCCAGAGACTCAGCACCTCTTCTCCAGCTGGGAGTGAGTGGAACAAATGCGGCTGGGGACAAGCTGCTCCATGCCTCTGTCAAGGTGGAGCAGCTTTCCCCCCTACAATGATAGCAACAGCCTATTGGGGAGGGCTCTCTCCCCTTCCAGGCAGAGGCAGCAACTCGATCAGAGAAACAGATGGGTAGGACTAGCAAAAGGACCAGCAGGAGCTCAGAATCCCCCCCCCCCCCCAAGGACTAGCAAAAGGACCAGCGGGGCCTCAAAACCCCCCCCCCCCCGAAAAATTAGAGCCTATCTCCTCAAAGGATCGGGGCCGCGGGTGGCTGAGAGGTTAAGATGCTGAGCTGCAGACTGGAAGGTCTGTAGTTCAGCGGTTCAAGACTGAGTGCCACGGGACGGAGTGAGCTCCCATCTCTGGCCCCCGTTCCTGCCAACCTAGCAGTTTGAAAGCAAGAAACTGCAAGTAGATAAATAAGTACCACTTCAGTGGGAAGGTAATACCGTTCTGTGCGCCTTGGTGTTTAGTCATGCAGGCCACATGACCACAGAAACGTCTTCGGACAGCGCTGGCTCTACGGCTTTGAAACGGAGATGAGCACCGCAACCCTAGAGTCGGATTTGACTAGCTTTCAAGCAAGGGAAACCTTTACCTCAAAGGATAAGATACTCATTTAAGTATTCAACTTTTAGACCAACTCACAGCCTCCAAATCTCTCTCTCTCCCCCTTGCTCAAAAGCCAGTCGAATCCGACTCTAGGGTTGCAGTGCTCATCTCCATTTCAAAGCTGAAGAGCTAGTGCTGTCCGAAGACGTTTCTGTGGTCATGTGGCCGGCATGACTAAACACCAAGGCGCACGGAACACTGTTACCTTCCCACTGAAGTGGTACCTATTTATCTACTTGCAATTTCTTGCTTTCGAACTGCTAGGTTGGCAGGAGCTGGAACTAGAGACGGGAGCTCACTCCGTCATGCAGCAACTCAGGTCTCGAACTGCTGAACTACCGACCTTCCACAGCAAACCAACCATGCCTCTCATCACCAGACACCAGGGACAAACAGAAGATTGCTTTCCCTTTCATGCCTGGCTTCTGAGCTTCCCAGCAGCATCCAGAGAGCCATGGGCACAGTGGGCTTGAAGAAACAGATCGTTTTGATGTGGCTCGGCAAGGCCATTTTTATTCACTTGCTAAGGCATCGCAATGGTGAGATGAAGGGGGGAAACTCCTAATAAACCGTTAGCCTGGAATCCACCCCCTCCAAGATAATCCTTGATGTGTGAGGACTGGCGGGACTTACTCTCTATGAGGGGAATGTACTCTACACACACTATTCACATTTTGACTACGTTGCTAGTTCCAGACAGCGACCTGCCCCAAAGCTGGCTACAGTCCTTAGAATAACAGCAGACTATTCCTTCTGGGGCCAAACCCACACCAGCTCTAATGTTTTTCTAAAGTCCTGAAGAAAAGCTGGGTGTAGGAAAGGAGACTTTTCTCAATTTGCACATCCCAATTTAACACATCCTACCACTTAGCAGTGAACTGTGCAAAACCTAAACCCAACACACCAAGCTAGATGCTTCCCAAAGAACTACAGGGAAGCTTCCGCCTCTTTGACAGCAGATGTCCCCAGTTCCCAGCATCAGCACTCTTCTTGCAGACTTAAGAAAGTCCCAGCTAGCAGCAGGACATGAAGCATGAACTGCACTGACACAGGCAGAGGATTACAGAGATTTATTTGTCACATTTTGCCCTCTAGCACATTCCACACAGCCTCTCTAGCAAAGGGGGATACTGGAAAACCCTGGAAGAGGACAGAGATTCTATGGCTACAGGGGACAAAACTGAAGTCAGGGAGGGCAAAAAAATGTCCTCAGTAGAAACAAGGTAAGACCTATCCCAGGTCAACTCCCCTCCTACAATCTACCAGTCCCAGTGGGGAAGTATGGAAGGGTATATACACTGCATGAGCTCTACCACCTCCACAACACAATCCTAGAAGGTGGATAGCCCCAGGTCACCTGGTTCTAGAAAGAACACCCCTATCCTTGAAACCTGGCTTTAAAAAGAACACCCTCATCCTTGAGACATGCATGGAAATCTAACAGGTAACTCCCAGATGCTCCTGAGTCCCAAATACATCCCACAGACCACACTACAAGCAACCTTAGCAAGAGTCCGATGGAGAGATACGCCATGAAGACCTGCTCTGATCCCCCGTAGCCAGCATCTTATTATTCGTCAAAGGCAAAAATACCACCATCATGCACCAAGATCAGCTCTTGCATGCCAGCTCTATTTTCATTCATACCCCAAAGCAGCAGGGGAAGAAGAGTGGCGGGGTGTCTATTCAGTCTAACAATGCAAATAAGCCAATCCTTAAGATGCTTTAATATTCCTTTGATTCAGAGTGACAAATAAGGTTGATATTGTTCACTCTTTTGGTGTATGGTTGTGTGTGAGGTGCAGATTTCAAGCCCACATTAGAAGTTGAGAATATGAAAACAGATGGGGGCCGTTATACAATTAATCAGTCCTAATTCAATTTTGTATCTGCAAGCATCCCACTCCTCCCTAGCACAGCTCAAAGCACTCAAATGCCAGTCTCCTAGCTATGGGGGGCTGACCAGAGATTCCCAAGCTTTGGCTTACCATTTTGAAGGGTAGTGAACTTCCCTCAGCAGCCCTGACTCTGCATCAGATGCAGTTACTGTATTTACCCGAAAGGAAGACCTAATGTTTTTCCAGTCATGCTGGCAAGAAAAAGAACATATTGTCTTAAATTCATGCATAAGTTACTGGTATGTACAGTAATAAAAAGACTGTGTGTAATCTTTTCTTTTTAAGGGTAGGGGAGTCATCTTCCTTTCTGGAAAATACAGCTTTCCAAGCAATTGCCTTGAGAAAGCAAAACTGATGTCCCATACTCATGCACCTGAAGACCACTAACCTCTGCCAGTCTCCCCATTTTCATGTTAATCACACTGCTGACTCAGCTCCACAATCTGGCAAGGGACAACTCCACGGGGAGTGGGGGAGTGTTTCTGCTGGCAAAGTGTGAAAAAGCTTTTTCTGAGTCAGACAACTGCAGTCTCCCATGGAAGTACAACAGGTAATAGTTACAAAATGCACACATAATGCAGCAAGGCCAGACTACAGCCAAAAGTCTGGTACCAGAAACCTGTCCTGTCACTGCTAGGAGGCGTTGTCTTGTCTGTCTTTTCTTTCCTGCAAGACCTGCCTATGAATTCCTATGAGACGTCCTTTCCTACAAAGGGACTTACACAAAGCAAGAAATTACTTAGCTGCAGAAAAAGAAGGCAAGCTGTGGAGTCCTCCATGGAAAGTTTTTAGCAATTAACTGTGAGTGGGAATGGAGGCCTGTGCCACTTGCTTCTCTGGACAGTGCTTCGCCTTGATTTGGGGAGCTGAAACTTCACTGTTCCCCATCTCCGGTAATACTAGTGGATTTCCAAGCACATCAAGGCAAGAAAGGATAACCTTGAAGCATCATCCCTCATCAGGTGACAAAGCCAGTTCTAGAAGGGAGCCCATCCACAGTCCCTATTTCTGCCACAGTAAATATTCCAGTGCTAGTAAGGAACAACCAAATCTGTCCCAGGGTTTCCCCTGGCTCCCAAGAGTCCTTCGCCAGAGTGATGAAGTGAACGCCAGCCTCCAAATCCAAGCTGTTCTCTCTGGGTCCTGCCTATCAGGGTCTTCAGCAAAAGCCAACTCAAGTTAGTAAGTTACAGATCCAGCGACTGTCAGGCCACTGCATCGCTAAGTGGAGTTGTGCTGTACCCCAAAGTGACAAGCCTGTTCCCCTTCCCCCAATTCAATAAAGCAGTCAGGGCTCAAGAAGCTTCAGAAGTGACAGCTGTGAGCCAACTATTATAAGGCTTAATGGATACACACACACACACACACACAGCCAATCCCTGCAATGCAACCTGTTGGCAATTCATGATTAGTTGCTGAAAGCATAAGATTGCTGGAGGGTCCTACTATGCAGGAAAGGCCTCCAAGCCTTGTCCACCCCACACTCACCCCCCTGAGGAGCTTCCCCTAATCCCAACTTCAGACCCCCAGACTCGTGTACTGTAGTGTTTTGTCTGATAAATGTATAATGCTGCAAGAAAACAGTCTGTGCTTTTAGCCAATAATCTCACAGGGTTCTCTGTTAAAATATAGAGTGCCCCCCACACCCAAGGTTTACAAAAGCTTCTAGTTAATCTGCAGCTAACTTTACAGGCTACCTATAATGTACAATTCCTGCACCTGCCCAAATTCCAATGAACATGACTTGCTTGGTGCCCCTCTCCCCACCCCACTCCCCCAGCTATATACCCAAGGTGGTGCAAAACTGTTCTTAATGCTGCTCAGAGAAGCACACCTCCTACTGGTACTGTCTTTGAGGGAAGGAAAGGCACCCAATATGGAGACACTTATACTGGTTTGAGGGCTACCACAGAAAGCCCTGTCCAGATTACTTTTTTAAAAGCCTCCAAAATAGTTCATCTGTAGAAAATGCCCTTCTGGATTTATTTATTTATTTTAAAAAAAAGAAGGAAAAACATGAACATCAGGGCTCTGCTTAAGGCCAGATCCAGGTTTTCCATTTCTTGGCTGCAGCAGGACAGCCAGAAACAAACCCCAGGAGAAGTTTTGGTTTCTTAGCAACAGCTTTTAGCACCTGCTTGTCTGCTTTCAGGCAGTCAGTGTTTTAGGAAAGTGCTACCGATGGCTCAGGCAACGCCTTCAACAAGGCCGTACCTCAGCTTCCAAATAGGCCTGGTGGCTAGCACAGTCAAGAATGAACTTGATAGCCTTGTAGATCCGGCCGCTCTGCACCTCCGCACCCTTCAGCGATGGAGAGAGCCTCGCCGGATGAGGCTGAGAGTTGGAGGGAGAAGGGGTAGTTCCCCTTTATCTGCTGGGACCCTCACCTAAGGGGGAGTGAGCAGGCACGGAGCCACGTGCCTTAAAAAGACACAGACTCCTACAAAAGCCCCTCACAGAGTGCAGTGTGAAGATCTAAATACTCGGCCACCCTCACAAGCCCCAAGAGCCCAACAAAAACAAGTAAGAAGGTCCACAATTCCAGTACCCGTTACTCAGAGATCTCAACCTCTAATCACCTCCACTCTGCCTCAGGCACCCGGGATCCAGAATGCAAGGTCCCAAAGTGCCAGACATACCATCAGGGTTCAAAACAAAAGTGTGAGGAGAGTTGTGACCATGAAGGCATCGTCCAAAGTCCTGCAACAGTAGACAGGCGTGAACCAAGTTCGGTATGCCTCAACAGCTTTGCATGGTTGCTTGCCTCATTATTTATCAATTTCCTGATTCAGTGGGAATGAAATTATTCTTGCTGTAACCATCTCTCTTGTGACAGCCTTGTTCCTCCCGAGAGCACAACTTTCTCTCCCCCACCCCTTCTTCCCACCAGAAAAATGCAGACAGGGAGGGACCTTGCAACTCAAGCAGCCATGGGATGTGCATATCGCCTTCCCACCCATTTTTTTCATCAAGGCTTAGGGTACTAAGTCAAACGATGGTTGAGGCAGAGATCAGGCGAAGGGCTGATGTCAACACAAAGTGGCTCCCTTCTGACCATCACTGACCCATCTCAGCTGATGCTGCCCCATGAATTCAGAGAATGCTCCTTCAGGGCACGAAGAGTCTTTTGGCCATGTTTGGAATGCTTCCCCAGCTCCTTGCAGGGAGGTCTGGCTGTGGCTTGGAGGGCTTATGGTAGACTCGGGAAGAGACGTGGCACTTAACAGGATCTCCTTCTTCCTGTTGCAGTTAGCTCTTCTTCCCAGCTGGCTTGAAGAGCAGTAAGACCAACCCCCGGTACTCTCCATGTTCCAGACTCTTCTGGGGGGTGCAAAGCTCCAAAACCAGAAGGGCACTGGAGAGAGAAAGAAGCAAGTACTTATTTGTCTACAGGGTACAGATGGCAACAGAAGCACACACAAACTCAGAACACATCAAGTCCTAAGAAAAATTAGTTTCTATATATCAGCATCCCCCTTTAGGCAGAACCTTAATTTCTTGAGCTAGAATCTGCAGACCAGATCAGACACAGGGTCCCTTTGACCTAGGAGCCTGTGTTTACTAACAGATGTTTGCAAGACTCTCCCACACCAGACAAATGTAGGTTAATCTGCCCCCAACAGAGGCTCCATCGTAATCCTCCAATGTCAGATTGCTTTCAGTCTCAAAACTCAAGAGCTTGTGTTCTTTGTAATAAATTACAAGTTGGGAAGCCCAGGCTGTTTTCCCATCCTAGTTTCTGGCATCAAGTACACTCTGTCATAAAATGTTCCACATTTTATGTGCCCTTGCTCTATCGTCTTGCTCTACTTTCCTCTACCTCAAGAGACCAGAATGAACTCCCAACCTTATACAGTAATTCCCCAATTACCATTTTGCTTTCTTCAGTAACTGGAGCAGGAACAAGCGTTTGAGTTTGGCGAGAACCTGACATGTTTTCCTGGGCAATACTCTCTCGAGCATTCAGAAAGTAGAATTAAAATTGGGACAGAAACAGTGAAGAGGATTGCTTATCCCTAGTACCAAAACAGCCAGTCACCTAATCTCCCATGGCACGTGCAAATAATATCCAGGCAAACTTTACAGAAGCTGGCTCCTCTTTTGATATGGGAAAAAAATGACAAGCATACATGTATGTGTAGGCAGGCAGCCTACTAAACTTTTTGTGGCCTATAAAATTCTTAAGACTTACTCCTAATATTAATGAGACACTTTCCAGAACAGTGCCTTCCTTCTCTGTAATTCCAAATGCCTGTCTGCATTAGGGAGTATGACTCTGGCCTTTCTAGAAACTCCTTGTATGATAAAAATTTACATTAGACAGCTAGGGCTTGCAAAGGAGGAAACAAGAAGGAATAGTCAACTTCACCAGACTAGGGGTTTCTAATCCTGTACAGTGTATGTACATGAAGATCCTACTCTTGACACATTGCCACAGATATATCTCTGCCTTGGTGCCATGACTAACAGGACATCCTTGGGGCAAAGACTCGCCTGCTGTCCACAAAGGAAACAGGAAGAAGAATTTATAGCATGTTTTCAGTAGCTAATTAAAAGGGCCTCAGTGATTTGATGTCACATCCACCTCACAAGAAGACAAGGCTCTGAAGACAAGCCCTGTGTGAGGCCAAATGGAACTAGAAGTACTTTGTTAGGTTGACAGATCAAGATGGGTAGTTGTATTAGTCTGTCTGTAGCAGCAGAAAAGAGCAAGAGTCCAGTGGCACCTTAAAGACTAATGAAATATGTGGCAGGGTATGAGCTTTTGTGAGTCACTGCTCACTTCTTTAGATACAGCTAGCTTTGTTAGGGTGAGTCCAGTGAAGGCATGCAGATTACCCACTGCACTGCTATCTGTGTGTCACCAAGCTGTTGTTTAATTTGTTACCCTAGAAACATTAAAGCAGATTTAAAGCAATGGAAGTTAAACCTCAATCTAACAAGACACAATCATGTCTAAGAAGATTCACCCAAGGAGATCTTGAAGGCTGTATCTGCTCTTTCTGTTTATCATTCCCATGATAAGAACCACCTATTAACGAATAGTTAATAGGCTGCTGTGAAACTGAACAGACTTTCACTTGGAGTCAAAACTAAGTACTGGGAGGGGAAGCTGGAAGAAGTTTCCAAAAGGCAGCAGTTATGGAAGCAGAATCAGGCCCACCAGCCATGCAATTTTATTCTGCTCTTTCCACTCACCTTCACATCCCTGAGAAGAGAAGCATATATTCCATGGTAACAGATTCCCAAAGTTCCCCTGACATAACAATTGCTTGGGCTAGAACAGCAAATTGGATTAAATTCAAGACTACATAATTCTCACTGAGCACTAGGAACAATTTTCAGCCCTATTTAAGGCTGGCACAAAAATGTGATACTGACTCCTAGACATGCAAAATGTTTTTCAAAGCCCTGGACAAAGCAACCTGTACTCTGGGTCTTTTCCAAACCGACGACTGTCTGAAACAGGAGGAAACATTGCTTAAGTATAAGGCTGGGAGAACTGATAAACTGACTGCAAGCTGTAACTTCAGCTCCAGCTGTGATACATTCACCTACCTTTGTCAATCCTGAAGTTAACTGGGTACCCAAGTGTGGTTGGAGGCCTGCGAGGTGCTGGGGTAGGTAGGAGCAGAAGGAATGGGTTCAAAATTGAAGTCCAGCCCTTCTCCATCCATGAGGTCGGTATTGATAATGTAATCCACATCACATTCAAGGTTCTCCATGTACATATCAACATCCAAGTCATTAGGCAGCCTATCCTGATTACCTCCAAAAGGAGTAAGAGTGGCGGCAGACAGAGGTGGCAGGGCACCCAGCTGGACCACCTGGGTAGACTGTGCTGGGCTGGATGCCTTCAAAGTGGACAGGCCTGCCGCATTCTGCGGAGCCGTCACCATGGTAAGGGCAGAGGCCAAAGCAGTGGTACCGACTGAATCCAACTGCTGTTCCGAAGGCTTTCTGAGCAGGTTAACGGGGCTCATCTTGCTTTTAGAGGATTGGTCCCCCAGGAGCAGAAAAGTCTGGCTGTTCAACCTGCCTCCACTCTGTGGGAGGATAGGATCTACCTGTGTCATCATCACATCACTAGGAGGTGGTGAGTTGGAGGTCAGGAGGGCTTCCAGTGTCTGTGGGCCAGAGAAATGGCCACCAGAGCTGTGCAGCGAGATATCAACAGGGTTGAAGAGGGAGCTGCCAAATGATGGTGCCTGAGTAGCTGTGCTCTGGTTCTGCAAGGAAAAACTGGGAGTTCTGTGGGACAGACCACTCGAAGTATGCTGCTGAGCTGACAGCAAGGATGAACTCGGCGACATCAGGTTTAGGCCATCAATGAGCTCCAGCTCCTCTGTCACAGTCGGTGGAACGTTGCTAGATGCACTGGAGTAGACGAGGGAAGGGAGGAGCTCCTCATCGGGAAGGTCATCCTGCTCAGTCAGGATTGGAGAAAGTCCTAAACTGATGGTGCTGGCATTGGAACTGGTTCGAGGCCGGATACTGGTCCACACATCAGAGTCCTCATTGCTTCTTGCTGAGGGGCTGCCAGGCCACTTGGGGTACTGAGAGGTTGGACTGTCAGCAGGAGGTTCTGAGGCCACCTGCATAGCCGCCTTTTTCTTTGAGGCTTTCCCCCGGACCTTTGCCAGTTTGCTGCTGTTGTCCATGGAGGCAGCTCTCCTCCGTGGAGCCTTCCCACTTTTACCACCTTCTGGATTGAGCATCCACCAAGAGCTCTTCCCTGTAGCTTCATTGTGCACTTTAATGAACTTGCTATGCAGAGACAGGTTATGCCGGATGGAGTTCTAAGGAGAAACAATGGGAAGAATAGCACATTAGCAACATTTCCAGCTTCCTTTCATACAATCTAACCCAAAAAAACAACACCCCTGAGGAGAAGAATGACCCACAGAGGTGCCAGCAAGCCTAGAGATGTTTCTTGGCTATCAGTATGATGAAAAGCTTGTCTGGCTTTCCAGTAAACCACTCATTCAGAAAAGTATCTCCGTGAGATCTATTTAAAACATTTGTTCAAGCAGCCTGTACTATTCCTGACATGAGATTACATTCAGCTGGGGGCAGGGTTGGCTATTCAAAATACAATAGGCCCAAGATGGTGAGCAAGTAAAACCTCTGGAGCAGTCACACCTACCTGGGATTCTTCTGCCTGCAGAGAACCTCTTTACAGTGTTCACGAGGAGGGGGGGGGAATTCAGCACACCACAGACCACTCATGGCTGCTCTTGATTTAGAACGGGAGTCTCATCCCAGTGGTTTGCAAACTGTGAGAGGCTATACAACCCCGCCCCAGAGGGAATGAGCCAACTCTGCTGGCTAAGAACAACCTCCTCCCCACCCCCAAGGAATGGCTGCTGTCTAATTGCCTAACCACAAGACTTTGGCTCTGCTTACTTCAGTGTGACTTGAAACCAAGAGGTTCAGAACAGCATGTAACTTCCTAGGAATAGTAGTAAGGTTTTGTTTCTGGGTAACAGGCCTGCTCAGCCAGAACCACAATGTGCTAAGCCTTGCGTCAAGAAGCGTCCTTGGCCCAACAGCAGAACTGTTCTGGTACACTGGAGCTGCCGGATGGAGTCATCAAACCCTTGATTTCTCTTTGGAAAAGTAAGGCATTTTTCAAGATTTTTGGTTTACAAATAAAAAGGCAGAAACAATGGCATGACAGCACACAGAGAGTACATGCACCATACCATATTAAGCCCTGATAGTTTAGGGATTGAGCCAAAACTGTACTGGTTAAAGTACCCAGGACCTATGCGAAGGCAAAAATCTAATATGTAAAAAACCAGAGTTCAAGGTTTACTCAGCCTCAAATCAGATGCTGCTACTACAAAGAAAGCAAATGAGTATCACAGAGCAAGCAATCATAGGAAAATCCAGAGGAAACCTGAAGGGGGGAAAAAGATGAACTAGCAAAAAGCATGGAGCCACATAGTTAAGAACAGAGCTGACTTTGGCCAAGTGATATTTAATCCAAATTAAGCATTTACAATTATTGACAGCTTAACCTGCAATCTAACAGCACTCATTACTATCTGCCCACCCCAATTTTCTGTGTGATTTCAACAGCACTTTCTGCTACACCCAGACCAAGACTGTCTGAACAGCATTTTTAAAAAAATAAAAAGCACACTACAGGGAATTATAAGATTGGTCTGTTGTTACTTAGAAAGCCGAACCCCACCTCCCAATTCCCTCTCACACAAATAGAGGCTTAGGGTAAGTGTTCTGATACTCCACTCATTCTTGAAGACAAAAATACAAACAAATCACATTGCCATTCAAAATATCTTCCTACTGGTTTAACCCCTGATTCATTACCCAACCCCTTTCATAGCAAAATAGGTCACACACCATCTCTTGAAAATACATGGGCTCATATTTCAGTGATCCTTCCAGGGAAACAGGGCAACGGAGTCACAACAGCCACCTTGGATGTTCTACCACATACCTTTGCCATTTCAACATGGTACATATATGTATCATGGTGCTGCTACTAGGGAAACCTAAATGAATTCTAACCATTGGCTGAAGAGGGGCACAGGGAAGGAAAGTCTCAAAATGTAAAGAACTCAAGTCACTTAGAATTTTATCTATCTCCTGTTCTCCCTCCTCCCAAAAAATCCCAGCTTTCCAAACCAGCACATTTATGCAAGAGAGAACTCAAAGTCTTGAATTCTTCAATAGCTGAATTTAGTTAATACAAATCAGGCCTGTACTTGCATCAACCCACAGAAGGGGGGGGGGGAACCACTGGCATGATTTGTATGTATTGCCTAAGATCTATTAAACCCCATGAACAAATGTTCTAAAATATAAGTTAATAAAGGAATGAATAGAAGAAATTACCAAGCCAGCCGCAAAGCCTCCTCGATAACTTGGTAGGGTGGGGAGGAGAGGTGACAGCACTCTGTTCTTTATGTAGCCATGCACCTATTTTAAAAATAGCCCCATGTTACTTGTTTCCCCTTTGCCCTTTATCTGAGGGATGCTAATGGAAACACAAGAGTGAAAGTGACTAGCGGTGAATTAATTTGTTTTGCCCCATTTTCATTACAGGGGCATTTTGACCAGCTTTTAAGAAAACTCAGTCTCAGAAAATGCTTATCAGGTAAATGCTACTGCCTGACATTGACATTCTCTCTCTCTCTCAACCCCCTTTCAACATTATACTTTTTTCTCTTTCCTTCAGATTTCCTGGAAATTCTTCCTCCTGGAAACTTACAGCTGTCATGGGCATGGATGAGGATGAGCTGACAGAGCCTGCAGAAACCACAGCTGGCCTCTCTGAAGCGGCAGAGGAGGATAGCTGGCAAGTGTCTGTAACAGCAGTCTTCACACCTGGCCCAGATAAGAAGGAATAACTGCAAGCTGAAAGTCCTCCTAATTCACCCCCAGTGTGACATTTGAGAGAGCATGTGATGTGTTTAAGGGAGCAACTGCGGCAAAACTTAGCAACCAGGCAAAGAGAGGCCAGGCTATAAGGGAGCCGCTCAGCCAGCCCAGAGTTCTAACAGGAGCCTGGCAGATCGTGCAGCTGGCTAATTGGTAGCAGCATTTAACTCCACACTCTGGGCAGTACTCTTCATGGAAGCAACAAGTCAGCTTTGTGCTGCTAGCATCCACTTTGGCTCGGCTCTTGCACCTAGACCTTCGGACCCCCTGGCTTTGGACTTGGCTCTATGTTCCTGACCCCGGCTTGGCTTTCGACTACGTTTCTGGTTAGTGATTTGAACTTGGCTCTGTGTTTCTGGCTCCTGACCCTGGCTTGGCTTTATGGACTTTGCACTATCTTTATGGCTCCTGACCTTAGCCTGTTCTGAACTCCTTTTAACTGGCACCCCAGCCCATAACAACAACTTTCTGAATTATCTGCTTGCTTTGGAACATCAAGTTCGGTCAGGAGAGAATCATTAGAGACAAGTTAAGACTCATGGTTCTCTGGGTTCTGCCCCATACACAGTCCATCCCAATTAAATGTGTCATCTCCCACCTGGAGTGGTTCTGAAAATGCCTGGTTAGTGCCCACCCAGAGTTCCTTAAACACTCCAAGAATTTGGCAGCAAACTGGCCTGATCAGGAGAAGAAATTATGGTTTTTTAAAAACAAAATTTGATGCATCTAATGCTCAGAATTGCCTCAAGACAAAACACACATTGTCTATCAAATTGCAAGATGCCAAGGAAGAAGTTACCATTCTCCAACACAGTTGGTAGATTTTCAGAGCCAAAGAGCATCAATCTACTCACTCCTTCTTTGTACCATATTAATGCCCCTGCTCCAGAAAACTTACAGTCTGAAGTCTGATACAGGAATAGGGCACAGCAAAGATAAAAGAGAACAGCAATAGAAAAGAGTAAGGATCAAGTAGCACCTTAAAGACTAATAAACTAGTAAGCTACTGCATTCTATGTACGTTGGCTTCACTGAGATCAGAAATAAAGAAGAGTTTGGTAACGGCTTCATAAAAAGTTGGGGGTTGAGGCAGTATGTGAACAGAAAGTGGCTGCCTCACACAGGCATTCCAAGAGACAGAGAAGCCGGTTTTCTACAGAGAAGCAAATTATTCACCACCTCACAAGTCATACAAGTCATACAAGCCCTTTGTTGTTCAGACGCAGTCGAGTCCGACTCTTCGCGACCCCATGGACCAGATCACGCTAGGCTTTTCTGTCTTCCGCCGTCCTCTGAAGTTTGCTCAATTTCATGTTCATTGCATCTATGACACTGTCTAACCATCTCATCCTTTGCCATCCCCGTCTTCTTTGACCTTCAATCTTTCCCAGCATCAGGGTCTTCTCCAGTGAGTGCTCCCTTCTCATTCGGTGGCCAAAGTATTTGAGCTTCAGTTTCATTATCTGGCCTTCCAGGGAACAGTCAGGGTTGATTTCTTTTAGGATTGACTGATCTGATCTTCTTGCAAGCATGCAATACTCTAGAAAACCCTGTCCCTGGGATTTTTCTAGTTCACAGAACCAGACAGTTCAAGTGCCACTGTCCAAGCTTTCCTTCTCCATATCCTGCCTCCCAGTGGGAGCAATGATCTTCCACACCATTCAGTCATGTAAGAAGGAAATATCACCAAGTTAAATCGACTGAACAGCGAGTGGCTCTATTTCCTACTGCTAATGCCCCCTCCACCCCAAGCCTTATAAACATTGCTTCCAAGTATTTCACTCAAAAACTGTAGCTCATCAAGTTCAACTTTACCAAAATCCATTTCCTTCTCCCACAGAATTAAATTGGGAAGGAAGAGAGAAGAGGTGGAAACAGACAAGTACCATATGCTAAAATACAGACCCAACTGAAGCCATACAAAAAACATTAAAAGACAGACTGAAATGGGGGGGGGGGGGGAGAGAAGCATCAACAGGGGTAACAAGTGGAGCTGCATTAGTACCATTAAAGCAGTTCTCTTGGGGCCCGACACAGCTGCAGGGCAATCTTGGCACATGCTCAGCAGGAGAAACAGCTTTCATAAACTGGCAAGAACAGCAGTAAGGTTTTCCAAGATAATTCAACCTGGGTTACAAAGAGCAGTCAGTACACTGTGTCAGGAAGAAACAGGAAAGTGCCCTCTGGGACTCTGAACCCAAATGGCTCTGGGGTGGGGCATGTTTGTCCTGCTCTGTTCTTGTTCACTTAAGCACACCCTGTTTTTAATCTGCGACAAGGTTGACAACACCTCAAGAAGGTGCTCTCTATGTGTTCTTAAGCAAGGATGCTTACTGATTCTCGAGCAATGGACTTACTCCTCTCCTTTTTCTTTTTACCTGACATTCCC